TTTTTTTTTAATGAAGCAAGATGTTTTGGTAGCACCTCAGTGCTCTGTTTTCTTAGTTTCACTCTCCCTGGGGCACTTTCTGCTTACACTCTTGTCAGCAGATAGAACATTGCTGTTGAGTCTTCCACAGCTGGTGATCTGTTAATAACAGGACACTGAACGAGGTCTACAGCAAACAGCACAGGATTATTTAAAAGAGGTTTTTAAATACTGGTTGGTAAAACTCCCATTTCCTTGTAGAAATTTTAAAAAACCCACCTCAAGAGCAGTCATTCACCTCACTTGAAATGTAAATATTTTGCATCTTCATACAGTGTAGTAACCTGCTCAGTGTCATTCAGAGCAAAAGCAGCATAACTGCAAGCAACTCTTTGCTTTTGCAAACTCTAAAACAACCTCAGAAGAATACACTGCCCCCAGAAATATTGAAACTGCATAATGTAATACTTTTGTCACTCTAGAAAACCTCAGGAATAACTCCTGACTCCCAGGTTTTAGCATTGCAATTAGAGATGCAATTCACAACTTTGCTTGTGTTCTTTTGCTAGAAACATGAAGAAGTTTTGAGTGGTCTTGGGGCCACAGTAAGTAATTAATCTCCAGAACTGTGTTCAGTATCTGCAGCACTCGCAGGAATTCTTTGAGTACTGGACAGTTTTGTGCTGACAGAATGGAACCATTTAACAATCCTCCAAGTGCTTCCACTGAAATTCAGAAACGCCCATGAATCTCTGAGGAGGTGGTTGTGTTTGGTAGCTGCAGGCAAATTTCTCTGCATTTATTAAGAAATGGTTTGCTGAAGGAACAATTGTGATGACGACTGCAGGAAATGTCAGTGTGGGTGAGATGCACTTGTTAATGAGAAACATTAAAGCCTGGGATACATGAGAGTCCTACTTGTTAATCAAGACTATAAAAGTACAGTTTCCCTCGGGACAGAGCTGCAGGGAAAGGCAGAACAAATAAACACAGGAGATGATAGCTGGGGTAGAGGAGTGCTGAAGAAAACTTGGTAATGGATAAGGTATCTCATGAGATTGCTCACCCAGTTTAGGCACTTTTCATGAGATGGGTTTTTACTCTGAGTTGCAGAGGTGGTTTTTTACTCTGTGTTGCACAACCTATCACTGTATTAACAGAGCTTTTTCCTGGGGCTTCTAGTTAATACCAAAACATGAAACAATCATTATTAGCAATAGAACAACTTCCATCTTATTTTTCTTTCCACAAAGGCAAAGTAATCTCCACATTGGAATTTTCTTTGTAAACCTGATAAATATGCAAGGGCTTCCAATCCAGTTTTATATCTACAGTTTTGTGGTGGTGGAAAAATGTCAGCAGCTCTAAGTGAGGTTATCTCCATGGTCTGCAGAGAAACTGGATCCATTTACTGAGTGCTGCAGTGAATGCAGGGGAACCAGCACATGAGGGGTCTCTGTTCCTCTCTCAAAGAGCAGCCAGGGCCCAGTGGGGCTCAGCACCATCCCTTGGGGCTCAGCACCACCAGTGTTAGACCCACTGAGGCACTGATATGCCCTGCCCCACAGGCTGCTCATCTGCCCTCTGTGAGCTTTTCTTTTTGGTGGTTACAGGTGTCTCAGTCAAGGTTGTAATTCCCTTATTTGTGGTGAAGTTGCATCAAACCCCTTCATTAAGGAGATGGGTGTTTTCTACTTGAAATGCAGCTTGGGCTGCAGGGAACAAGCATCAGGCAGTCTGTTCTCACTGGAGTGTGTGGGAGCAGCACTGAACTGGCAGTTTTAAGTTTAGCCTGTGCTGCATTGGGAATGTGGGATCATCTTGTCCAAATTGTTGGTTTAGTTGCTGCCTTTAAATAGTTACTTGATGCTATTTTGGGTTAAAAGCTCCTGCAGCCATTCAGTTCCCTCTCAAATTCCTCTTCCTTTTTTTGTGTAAATAATATTGTCCCTATTCTCTCTGATGGTCAAAGGGAGAAGCCAAAATGGATAGATCAAGGGGGGACTTCTCAAACTGGGAATTACCTGATATTATGATTGTGGTATTAATCATATTGTTTGATAGATATTTGAAATCTTTCCTTGTCATGATTTTTATAAACAGGCTGAGTTTGTATATTTGTTAAACTTCAGCATTTGCAGGGTCTGAATCTTGACAAGTCTGAGGCTAAAGCATAAATACAGTGTTACAGCTTTGCAGAGAATTGGATTAGTGGTGTTAAATACAGGCTTTATTTCAATACCCTTGAAAGAATTCAAGTATCATAGTAATTACATGTTTTATGCATCTATGAGTATATTATGGATGCTTAAACAAAAAATTAGATAATTTCACAATGAAGAGTGGGACAAGGGTTTGCTCTCACCTCCAGACAGCAAATTCCCTTTGCAAATAAAAGCACCAAGATCATCTGCCATGCTGCCATCCAGCTTCAGAGACATTGAATATTTCAGCAGCACTACTAAACTTTTACACTTTCTTTCTTCTGTCTTGCAAGTGCTCTTCTTTTGACCAAAATACATGCGAGGGTGTTTCAGCTGTGACTGCACAAAACTTCACTTTCCCCAAATAAAATACTCAAAGGGTATTTAGGCTCTGGGCTGTCACTTAGAGCCCTGCAGAAAAGTCTCTCGGTCTTCCAGCTTTGGTAAAGGGATGTTACCTGAGAGAAAACAGAAAACAAGTTGTGTGAGACCAGCTGTAAGTTACCTTGTGGGCAGAACACCTTGGCATGGAAGTGTTTCTCCAGTTTACTCCATGAACAGGCTGCCTGAGTACCCTGAGAAAGTCAGGAAATTAAGTCCTGCCTGACTTCCTATAAGGAATTTCTCAACATGTGCAGTAACTTCAGAGTCAGGCCAGCCTCTGTGCTGCTTCTGAACTAATAAACTGCACATTGTTTTACACAGATGGCTACATTCCTTTATTTTAGTGCTCCCCATTATTGACTAGTATTTCTGAAAGTAAATGCAGCTATGGCAGGTTATTTTCTTCAGGTTAATTCAGGTGAGATTAAGAGGTTTTTGTAAGCAAGTCAATACCTGGTGGAGCTACAAAATACTCCTCTACTTTCTCTCTGGCATTTTCCAGCAGTTCTTTGGTGCAGTTGCCTTCTGTCACATCATCTTCTCTGAGATACAAACACCTGAAGGACAAAGATTACTGATTGTTTTTAGGCTGTTCTGTGAATATGAGGTAGGAAGGGTGGCTTATCTCTGAATCTGGTTTTGGTCTCTTAAACACTGAGACAAATACTGGAACATTTTGAAGCACCCAAGAATGGCACTGGCAGGCATTTGGGGAACTATTGTAAATGCAGGTGAACTTAATGGGAAGAAATTATGACTGACTCAATTCAGAAGGCTGAATGATTTCTTTATTATAACTATGTTAAATACATTAATATACTATATAAAAAGGAAGATACTAAAACTATATACTACTTTCTCTAACACAATTCATGACCTTCTTTTGAGGGTCTAGACACAGGTGGGTTGGATTGGCCGTCAGGCTCAAACAATCTCCACCAGAATCCAATCAAGCACTCACTCTAGGTAAACAATTCTCCAAACACATTCCACATAGGAAAAACAAGGAGTAGAAATATAAATTGTTTTCTTTTTCATTTATCTCTGTACACCTCTAGAAAATCCTGAAAAAAAGAAAAATGTACTTACCACAGGGAACAGTGTGACAAGACAGATTAAAGGACTTAAGTTCACCTTTGCTTTACTCACACATAAAAATTACACGTGCCAATGACACCTTTCTCCCACACAGAACCACAGGAAGATGTTTTTGAGCAAAGGGGCTACATGCATGGTGATTCCCAGGGAAAAAAGGTCCCAGAAGCAAACAGTTTGATGCATTAACAGATAAAAAGAGGCTCGTATGATTTAGCACCTGTC